ACATCGTGACAGCCCTAAACGACACTATTGTCTTTCCTCAGCTGCTTGGAAACAATCTGTACCGTATGAAGCACCACAGAAAGAAACCGATAATAACAAAATGTTGAGAACAAACATTTTCAGAGGCAATTCCAAGCAAAACTGAGTACATTGTCCATGTGTGCGTGATCAAAAGTGGCCCTGCTTTCAAATGCGGATTTGTAAAGTAAGTCTAGTCACCGTCTCGGCTCCCGGTGACGATCTCAGGGGCCCCGTCGCCGATGCCCAGTCCGCCCACTCCATCAATGCTGTTGATGATCTCCTTGTGTGCCTTCACCGAGTACACCGGGCTCTCCGGCACCTCCAGATTCCTGCAGAGCAAGGCTTCCATCTCAGACTGCGGCCTGGAAGACGCACAACTACAACCAAACGCTATCCTACCAAACATCCAGGCTGCCGTCAAAGTCCCCCGTGGCCAGATGCCTCTGCTGGAGAGATGTGGCTCCAAACGTCCCGCACTTGATCGGCTTGGCTTTCTCGATCTGGAACACAGGACAACAAAGCATGTTCATAACGTTTACAACAACATTCATAAACAAATAAGGAAGTAGTTTGAATTCATATTAGATTCAAGATAAGACTATTCGCACATAACAACTGCTAAGAATGGTCAAATAAATACATAAATAAAATAAATAAGGTTAATAATTGTGTTTTTTTGCTGTCAAAAACAGCACCCAAGTCAGACAAAAGTTAGAACTGATTAGTAAAAGTTTAAGAAATGTTATTTCATGTTAATAAAACGGGTTCTTTTTAAAAAGTACATTTTAAAAGCGATTTCAGAAACCGTTGATTGTTTACCAGAGCGAGGCCATGTAAACAAACCGCGTCGCTGTTGCCATGACAACCGGGCGTCAGGCGCTTTCTAGAAAGAGACTAATCTGCGTTTGCTCGTTTATAAACGCGGCTCAGTCTAAATGAATCTGACCTCTCTGACCAGCTGCAGCTCCCCGCGCTGGACCTCGTAGATCTGCAGGACTCCGGTTCCTCGGGCGAAGTTTCCCATACAAACAAACTTGGCGCTGCAGGGAAGCCATCTGCTGTCAAACACCGTGTAGCTCAGACTCTTCTGGATGTGCGCGATGATCTGCGGCTTCTCGAGCGCTGCTGACATGCTGCTTTAACCTTTAACCTTCGATCAAAGCGCAGAAACCGGTCAGTTTGAGCGGAAAGCAGGAGAGATTTCAGCAGCGGTGCGCGTGTTTTCTTTTGCGATAAGGACCCTCCCACAACACATAGCTGCCTTACTTCTGGCCTGACCAAAATCAACGGCAAATCTTTACCATGCGGATAGACTATGATATACGTTCATTTAATATTTGTAAGAAAGATTAATTAAGTTAAAATCACTTTGGCAGCTAACATGGAAACACATGATTCATTTAATAAGTGGCAGCACTTGGCACTGGTTGGGCAGCTATAAGGTCCTTTCCGTCTGTACCATGGCAGAAGCCACGTGGTGAACATCTCTGCCGCAGTGTCGTGTCTAAACGCTGTTTTCTTCGCGATGGAGTCGGTGTCGAACACGCCGGCGGAGGCGAGCGCTAGTATGGACTGCGAGGGAAACACGGACGCGTTTGAGAAAGTCAGATCTAAGAGGAGCCAGAAGCGGAAGCGGGACGCGCAGCTCGAGGAGACCGTAGCGGCCAAGAGACCGCAGTTCCCGGCTTTATCAGCAGCCCAGCTCACGGTACTGATCCCGGCCAGCTTCTTATGTGTGGAATACACTTCTTTTGAGTCGGATCTTTTTAATGATGTGTTCGAAACGATTTTTCACAAGTCAGTTTGAATCGGTTCTCGAGTCAAAGACTC